TATTGGTTTTCGAAAACTGATGAACGTAATATGAATACTGATAATCTCCGCGACGACTAAGAAACGAAAAACAACCAATAAAATACATTATTTTAGTATACAAAAAAAAATCAGTGCAAAAAATTTCAAATAAGAAATGTTCAGAGGCGTTACACATAATATGCAAAACATTTTTGAGTATATATATATATATATATATATATATATATATATATATATATATATATATATATATATATATATATATATTATATGTATTTATTAATCATTTTTAGTATGTACATCAAAGAAGAACTATAAAACCGCTGTAAAGGACAAAATCATTTTTACGTTTACTTTTTAGTAACTAGCTGTTAAAAGTCTTATAGTTGGCGACGACCTTCCTCTCGATAGCTCTTCACTTCTACTTCAAAGACGCTTCGAACTTTTGTCAGTTCCTCTGCTGACGCAACGAAACAGTATTAAGAGACAGAGAGTATATATCATCGTGCACTTTAATACCTTTTTCAATGAGATTTTAGCAAACAACCAGGCAGGACAATTTACCGGATTTAAAGTTAAATACGTGCCCAACATTACAGAGGAGCTCGAATGATAATAAAATAATAAGATAAGAATATTAAAAAATCTAGAGGTGATTTTAAAATTAATAAATACTAAGATTCTCTCAGAGGGTCAGATCATCGCAGGTCAGAGTCGCCATCATGATGGCGAGTCCAGGGTCAATAGACTATATAAATAAGTTTGATGTTCGTTTGTAAACATATGTATTATATTTTATACAAAATATAAATATGTAAATTTTAATGTAAATGTGTCAAGTGCCATACGATAAATAAAATAAACTAAGATTCAAAACTTTACAATTTAAAATAATGTAGCTATCCAGGATGATTTTTTAAAGATACTGTAATTGCATCTATATAATTAATTTACCAAAAAACATGTATTTTTAAATATACCATTATTTTTTCTTTACTAATAACTATTACAGTGTTATCTGAAAAATCACGAACAAATTCAACTAACTTAACTAATTGACAAAAACAATGAACCTATTACCAAAGAATATAGACGCTATAAGCTATACTGCTAGACTGCTATAAGCGTCTATATTCTTTGCTATTACTAACTTAATTGAAATAAAACAAGTATGGACTAGATATATTGACGATCTTTTAATGGACACAAGAACGGAACCAACAAAAATTGATACCGAGGAAGCTCCAATAATATTAAAATCTGGCATTAAACAAATCAAAATCTGGCAGAGCCCCTGGGCCAAATGAAGTTTATATCCAGCTGATTAAACTTATAGACGCAGACAGCTTAAGGGCAATAGCTATACTATTTAACAACATATACAAATCTGGTGAGATACTTACAGAATGGCTGCTATTGACCTTTGTTCCGCTACCAAAAACCAAGAATTCCAAATACTGTAATGACTATAGATTAATCAGCTTAATGTCACACTTAATAAAAACATTTTTAAAGATTATACATGCAAAAATATTCAGAAGCTCTGTATAGTTTCACAACTCTTATCAAAAATGTCGAAATCAACAAAAAGATCTTTTCGTGGCGTTTATAGACTATGAGAAAGCTTTTGACCAAGTGAAACATAACATTCTCATGGAATGTCTAAAGAGAAAAGGACTCGAGCAAAATGGCATTGACATAGTGAGAAATCTGTATTGGAACCAACAAGCTGTGATAACATTAGATGGAAATAGTACGGATGCGCAACAGATAAGTAAAGGAGTGAGACAGGGCTGTGTACTTTCACCATTACTATTTAATAAATATTTCGAAGAGTTATTTACGCAAGCAATTAAAAACTGTACAGAAGGGGTCTAGGACAATTCGCCGTTGCCAATTCGCCGTCGCCGATTCACCGTCGCCCATTCACCGTAGGGACAATTCACCGTTAGCCGATTCGCCGTCAGAATTTTAGAATGTTTATTATTAACACTTGGTTATAAATAGAAGATTTTAGGCAATAAATTATTTTATAGTAAGTACCATGTAATGGTGTGTTGATGTTTAAATTTTTATTAGGAATAAGATATTTAACAAGAGCTAGAAAACAATTAGGGTGGTTGATCTTGTAATGTGGGTTAAAATAGTTGTTGTTTATTTAATGACCATTAATAACCAGTAAATAATGATTCAAGGATTTAATTTTTTGTTTAAATTATTGTTGGAATAAAAAATGTTTAACAAGAATTAAAAAAAAATTAGGCAATAATTAGGCAATAAATAATTAGGCATTAGTAAGTACCCATTTATTGAGGGTTGGTGTTTAACGAAAACTTAATTCATATAATTTTATGTTTAATTAAATATTTTTGCTAAGTAAATGAAACAAGTAATCCATTGGTTTATGATTTTTTTGATTAAAAATTAATTTCTACATTTCGTAGTTATGGGCTAAGCCTCTGAGATATTCTAAAATATTTTCTCTATTATAATTTTGAACTAAATGCAAAATTCTTTGGTCCGCCAGTTCTTGTAAAATATTTTATTCCTAATAAAAATAAAACACCAACTCAATAAACATCAATAAACAGGTACTTACCATAAAATATTGCATTGCCTAAAATGTTATTTTTATAACCAAATGTTATTAATAAACATACTCAAAATTAAATTTCTGTCGGCGAATCGGCGACGTCGAATCGGCTGCCGGTGAATTGTCCCTACGGTGAATGGGTGACGGAGAATCGACGATGGCGAATTGGCGACGGCGAATTGTCCCATTCCCTTACAGGGAAGAGATCAAGATAAATGTTGAAAATATAAATAACATCCGGTATGCTAACGATACAGTCATTATCGCTGAAAGTGAGACAGATCTACAGACGTTGCTAAACACAATTTGTGATACTGAGGAACAGTTTGGTTTAACAATAAACATAAAGAAAACAAAAACCATGGTTATCAGTAAGAGGGACTAAGTTATTACAAGGATCTAGATAAAAGATCTGAAGATCTGAATCCAAAATCAGAAATGAAATTCTGCAATCTGCAATCTACAATCTGCAAATCCGGTATCGGATGGTAAAATGTTATATCCACTCTATTCTTCTTTATGGTGTCGAAGCCTGGACTGTTAATGTTGACTTACTAAAAAAAACTGGAAGCTTTTGAGATGTGGCTTTTTAGGAGAATTTTGGAGATATCATAGATCGATCATACGAACGAAATGATGTTGCAAACAATGGGAAGAGACAGAGAAATTTTGACTACCATTAAAAGGCAAAAGACTACCATTAAAAGGCAAAAGACAAGCATATTTGGGGCACATACTTTGAAATGATAAGTACGAGTTGTTGTAGTTGATTATAAAGGGTAAAATCGAAGAAAAAATTGGTCCTGGTAGACGACAAATATCCTGGCTGAAAAACATTCGTGACTGGACCGAGTTAAATACACAGACGCTCTTGAGAAAAGCAGACGATAGAGATGAATTTGCAATGGGTATAGCCAACCTTTATTATTGGAGATGGCACTAGAAGAAAAACGGTTACATTTTTAAGTCTAATTAAAATTTTTAGGGTTAGATTTAAGAATATTAAATGGTCGTTCTTCGTTAAATATGTCATTTTTTGTTACTAGTTTAACTCTTGAAGTTGCAACGCTTGGAGTAAGTCTATCATATAAATATTTTACAAATATTCATTATACTTTTGATACTTTCTTGTTTTTATACTTGCGCAAGCTCATTCTTGTTATTCTTCTTTTTTTTTTAATAAGTACTAAACTTGACCTATAAACCCTCATGATTTTCTAAGTTTGCAGTTATAGGCAAATAAATAGGTAATTTATTATTAAATACTAAAATACTAAAATAATCTATTTTATTGCTTTTTTTGTTTCTTAATCGTCGCGGAGATTGTCAGTATTGATCTTGCGTTCATCAGTTTTCGAAAACCGATATTTGTAAAAATTGGTTTGCGTTTTATTCACTTTGTAGTGAACAATATGAATAGAAAAGTTATATCTGAGTTCAACACAGTAGAATCGATACTTTTCATTGTCGACACACAAGTCGACGTTGCTGTCCGGGTTGGAGTTAATCATAGTGATGTGTCTCAGATTGTGAAAAAATATCAAGAGACGAATTCTGTTAGAGACCTTCCATAAAAGCAGAAGATCCAGAATTACTACAAATGTCCAAGAACGCTTTTTAACGTTCACTGACAGGAGAAACCCCTCTATGACTGCCCCAGCTATTAGAAGAGAGCTCCTGCAAGCTCATAATATTGTAATTTGCGATCAGACTATTAGAAACAAGTTACATTCAGTGAATTTATTTACAAGAAGACCATTGTTTTTACCATAGCTTACGTTAGAGCACAAAAGGACTCGATTGGAAAGGGCTAATGAACATTTACTATGGCATGATAACAGATGAGGAAACGTGTTATAATCTGATGAAACCAAAATTAGCCTTTTGTTGGCTAATCGCCGAATTAGGATTTGGAGGCTCTTTGTTTATTTTAAATATTCCAAGATATCCCTTTCACTCACGGCGTCCACAAATGTGGACATACATTTCTACGCGCTCAGTTCTACGAAATTATAAGAGTATGACTGTTTGCTCATGTTGTCCACGTTAAGGGACCTCTAAATATTCCTTATTCATGCACTAGACCCCATCTGTTAGCAAGTAGAAGAAACAATCGGAAAAGTTTCACCCACATGTTGTAAAAATTATTATATGTTCAAAAAGGTGCATTTTTGTGGAATACGTAATTGTAAGTGGAATAAAATGATTTTTGGCTTTGTATTCTTACTGAAAAGTGACGTCCTCACTTATGGACTCTGTGAGTAAACGGGTTCTTCTAGAGTAGGTAAATATAACCTAGTCCATTCATAGTACTTGTTGGAATAAATATATTTGTAATATTTCAGTAGCCAGCATGGACTTAAAATGACCTTTGACCCATGAGCAGCTGCTTAATATAATAGAAAATCTTTCAGATATTGAATATATGTCAGACGACGGTAATGACATTGATGCTTTGGAGCAGATATTTGAAGATTTGGAAGGTAAAAATATTTATTTTAAAGTAATATAAATAACTAATAATTATTTATTTTCAGGAGAAACTGAAGAAGTAAACTTACAAACAGGAAATAGTGGTCCAGATGAACTTAATATTGAACCTCTCGCAGTAGAAGTGGAGCCTGTGGGCCCTGTGGTCACTGCAGGACCAAGCACTTCTCAGGCATTTTCTGAAGGTAAGATCAGAGTTCATGATTACCTTATAAATAATCATCTTACCCCTAAGGATGATATCAAATGGCGTACCAAAGTGAGATATCTCACTCCAACCCTCCAGTGGTTTGTAGAAGATGTAACGCCAGTTGTAGAATTGGAGAGCCCTTATGCTATCTTCTGCAAGTACTTTACAAGAGATTTATTTGAACGTATGGCAGAGTTTACAAACCTGTATGCTGTACAGAACCAAATACGATTTTCCCCAACGAATGTAGAGAAAATGCAAATTTTCGTTGGTATACATATACTTATGGGAAATTTACATTATCCTAGAATCCAATTTTATTGGGATGCAAAATTACGAGTGCCCAAAATTGCTGAGAGTATGCCTCTAAATACAATTTACTCCTTGAGGCAAACTTTACATTTTGTGGATACAATAGATAACGTTGAGCATCAGGATAGGTTTTGGAAAGTTCGTCCTTTGTACGAAACAATACGCGCCCGTTTGCTGTCACTTCCATTGGAGACAAATCTGTCAATTGATGAACAAATAGTGCCGTTCAAAGGATCACTCAATGTGAAGCAATATATAAAAATCAAACCAAATCCATGGGGAATAAAAATATTTGCAATTTGCGGCGCAAGTGGGCAGATGTTCGATTTTATAATTTATCAGGGAGCTAAAACTGAATTGGATCAAACACAAATGACAGTTTTCGGACAATGCGCAGCTGTCGTTTTGAAGCTGTGTGATCGCATCACAGAGGATAATTGCAAAGTCTATTTTGATAATTATTTCTCTAGTTATTGGTTGTTACAAATTCTGCGCCAAAAAAATATCTTTGCCGTTTGTACTGCACGGCAAAATAGATTGAGTAGCCCTAGCTTCTCTGTTGATAAAGTAATGAAAAACCATGGACGTGGTAGTGCAGAAGAAATAATCAGCAACGATGGGGAGGTAATCGTGACAAAGTGGTATGATAACAAACCTGTAATAATGGCATCTAATTATATAGGAATTGGGACGATCGACAAGTGTAAACGATGGGACAAAACAAACAAGACCTATATAAAAATAAATAGACCACAGGTAATAAAGGATTACAATTTGTCAATGGGAGGTGTTGACAAATTCAATTTCTTACTAACATTGTACAGGACCTTTATTAGGTCACGTAAATGGACATTGAGAATGTTCACACATGGTATAGATTTAGCCTGTACAAATGCATGGCTAGAATATAGTAGGCAAGCAACAAATTTGCAAACACCAAAGCAAAGAATCTTAGATTTGGTGCACTTTCGCGCAGAAATTGCTGAAGTTCTTTTAGCTATAGAAAAAACAGTCAATAAAAAAAGAGGACGACCGCTTTCGATATGGCCTGAACCAAAAACACCTAAAAGAAAAAACATTGAAGTACGTCCAGTGGAGGAAGTAAGATTGGACAATGTAGGACATTTACCTTCTATTGATAAATTGAAAAATGCTTCGCGTTGCAAGAAACCCGGATGCAAGGGAAAATCTCATATATCTTGCCTCAAATGCAAAGTTCATTTATGTTTGACCAATATTAACAATTGTTTTGTGGAGTACCACAGTATATAAATCATATATAATGTGCATTGAATAAATATTATCATTGTTCTCATTATTTATTTTTTCTCTAACCCACAGTCTTTTTACCCCGTTATCTCACAATGTCCTCATGTGTGGACATGCTATTTTTCAAAAATGGAAATACTTTTTGACTTGGAATAAACTCCATAAATCTTAAATAAATTCAAGTAACCAATATTCAAAATTTCAAATTTTTTGGCTGAGTTTAAAAAATCATGAGCGAAAGGGATATACCGAGAATGAACAAAGACTAATTTATTAAATTATTTAAATTAAATTTATTAAATTATTTTAAATTACAAAAAGAGGCTAAGACATCTTTATTACCAGATTCTGTCGTTCGCGAATCAAATTGTGGATTCAGGAATGATATTGAGGAAATATCTTAAACTAATACCGTTATGGATATTTATATGTATTAAAACAGTTCTTTTTAGAACCACGACACTTTCTTGAAATGTAAGATATAATTGATACCAGCCACATGTCTACTGTAATCATTGATTTTAATGAATCAGATTATGAATGAGATTGTGAATTATTTGAAATATAATATTCATCTTTGATATTCATAAAAAAGAAGGAAAAACTTACATTCGGTATCTTGTTTGTAACTAAACTTCATTAACACGATTTTATCTGGATAGCGGAACTGCTAGAATAACTCAAAAATCAACTGCTTCACTATTCAAACTGTTTACATTGTTTTTTTTAACTAAACTTCATAACACTCTTTTATTTGCACACCAAATCTGGTAGAAGAACTCATAAATCAACTATTTCACTATTTAAACTATTTCCACTATTTAATGATAAATCTTCACAAAATTAAACTATTGACTGCCACATAAACTTATTGGAAAATTACTTATCCAAATATGACTGATTTAAATCGATGTAATTTTATCACAGGAATGTTTGCTTTGATGTCTTGCAATTGTCAGTAATTTTTTTATCTCGCAGTCAACTCTTAAAAGATTCTAGGAGGAAGCGTTATTTTAAATAAACAAACACTCCAATTTCATAGTGTTAGTAACATTCTTCGTCTTATAGTGCCGTGCACCTATAATGAGTTGGCGAATTATCTTAAGACCAGACGTGTGTCTTTTGCGGCATGCAAAAAATCGCCAGTGTTATTTATGCCTGTCCAGTTCTTTATGTTTCGTAGCCACGACATTTGTTTGCGACCTACTCCTCTCTTGCCTTCAGTCTTTCCCTGGATGATTAGTTGACGTATTGCGTAGTTTTTCCTCTCAGAATATGGCCCAGCTATGCAATTTTTCGAACCTTGATCAAATTGAGTAGTTCTCTCTTAGTATTTGCCTTTCTTAAGACTTCCTCGTTTCCCACTCTAACTGTCTATGCAGGAATGTATGCGGAACATATTCGCAACGTCCACATGTCGAAGGCCTCCAACTTATTAATGGAAGGTACTCATAACGTCCATGTTTCCATGCCTTATAACAATATGGGCCATTTAACCATCCTGTAGGGAGATTAAAGGAAAGATTTCGGTTACATAGTAGCGGTTTAAATTTGATATAATAATAATAATAATATTTTAATATTGTAATAGTGTTTGTAATAAATATTAATAAATCCATAAACAAATCTTAGCTAATTAAGCACTTTCCTTGGAATGTATCAAATAGAATAGAATTATGACAAACTGCCGTTCCAATATAATGCGCAATAAAAATTTTTATACAGGACGGGACCTCTTATATGTACATTAAATAAAAATTTGAATTGTTTTTACTGCACATTTAAAAAAATAACCTTTTTACATTTAGCCAATTACGAGTTTGCAACTGTCAGATTTAATTAAAATGTCATGCAATAATTCTCGACATTCTTAAAATCCTATATGACGTCAAAATTGGTGAAGCACTGAAAGAAGGGTTTGGGACAGACTGTACACTCTTCACTTGGATATGGATCATATATTATTTATCTATGAATATGGATAGTCAAAAGAGTTAAACGGGTGACGAGTTCGCTATGGACGTACATTTTTTGTATATACAACTTACTTACTGGACAAAGTCACATGTTTTTATGGAGTGAAATAGTTGCAGCAAGAGGTTCCCAGGAAATAGGCTTATGTCTGATAAAATTTATTGTCTACCTCCTAAGGTAACAAAGATAGTTGCATATAGTGACTCTTGTGGAGGGCAGACTAAAAACAAAAATATCTGCAAACAGTTATTATTAATATGACTGATAATATAAATGATATTGAGTTTTTGATGTGTACTATGGGAAAAGCACACAGTGGACGTCCATCTTCTCAGCTCTCCAAATTGAATCCTATTAATGACACGACACTACCAATTAAGGATGCCAAATATAAAAATCTGCTAAGCCTCTTGGACTACATTTCCTTATGTCACTACTCCTTTTACCGAAATTTGAAACATACTGGAACATCAACGGCACATGCAAAATTGGAATCAGAAAAATCAACTGCCAGCAGAGACGACTGCGACGGGAATGATGGCGAAAAAGATATTTTCTCAGAGTCGAATTACGAATGATAGTGTACATCAAAGTTTATAAAATAAAGTTTAGTTGAATACTTAAATTGACTAGTAATACCTAACATCTGCACTTAAACCGTTTTACCAGTAACTTTTATAAACACCATGTTCCGATTCAAGTACATTTTTTCAATATTTGAAAAAAATAATGGATGTAGTAAAAGTAATAATGTACCCTTATATTTTTATCATTTTCTAGAACTTTGTACAATAGACATATTTTTATCGTATATAGTTTAATCATTCCTAGAATTTATAAAACTCAAACAACTTTGACGCTGATTATCTCAGAACTATCAAAACTGCACTTAAATCCTTTTACGACTGACCCCCTCAATTGTTTCAATTTATTCAAGGTTGAAGTAAATTTTACAAATCAGTAATGGTTTTACCTGACTAAATCAATTTTGTGTCTTATCTTTACACAAGATTAAAAACCTTACTTACAAGTTTTTTCTTTTTCTCACTCTCTTCTTTCTTCCTAACGAATACAGAAAATAATAGGGTCTATAAATAATTTCTACATATTGGAACATTAGAAATCACAGGGGCTAGAAGCTTTATTGAGTTTATGGGTTTGTCCTTTTGTTTGTTGCATTTCATTCATCAGAGTTTTTGGATTTATTTGGGATTGGAATCGTTGAGATCCCCACCAGTGCCGTACCTATTATAGGATTGGAGCCGGTCGTTGGACTTCAATCGTATTATTTATTGGTTAAATATTACTGTTTTTTATCAATTTTTATATTTTAAATTTTAAAAATAACTTTCTCTTCAGGGCAATAATAGTTTTTTAATAACAATTAGTTAGTTTCATTCAATAGTTATTTATTTATACATTTAACTGTTTATAAATGTA